AAAGATGTCTAATTTAATCCCACTTTTAATCAATTTTGCATTCAAAGATGTTACCTTGTTGTAAAAGATCTTGGAAAAAAGTGGTTTTTGTTGATTTTTTGAAAATGACCTGTAATGTCTGAGCTTATATCTTTCAAATGGTGAATCTCTTGAATTTGTGGGATGAAAAGAAGTTGTAGGTAATGAGATTCTCTTCAATATGAGCTTTGCTGGAAAACTTTCTGATAAAGTATGAGAAAGTTATGCCTGGACAAAGTTTGGTTGACTTTTCCTATAGAAACTCTAATTTAGCAATTTTTGGCTTTTGATGAATTTGGGGCATTCCTAGAGGAATCATGATCTACCCTTGATCAAATGATAGGCATTACTTAAAAATGTTAATGTTGACCAAAAACCTTGAAGTTTGACTATAGGTGGGTCAGAGTTGACTTTTGACCTAACATAATTGATTTTCTAGCATTTGAGCAGTTCACTAAGAAAACTTCTTGTGCAAGGCATGAAACTTGGATTGGATGATCTTGAGAGCATATTAGGGCAATGGAAATCATTTGGAACCCTTGGAGCACAAACATTTGATGAAAATGGAAACCTTAGTTTGAGGCTCCTTGTCTTAGGAGGAGGATTTGTCTGGTCAATCCTTGGGCATCCTTGAGCAAGTTGAGGATTTTAATGAGCATATGTTGAGTAAAATTAGAGGGAAAATTTTGGGGTACAACAGCTTCCCCTGTTCAATCTTCTTAAACCTGAGGATGTAGATTGGCTGGTCTGCCTTTCGTGATTTAAAGGTTGAAAATGATTGAACACTAGAGTGCCCAGAAGTTTGCGCTCGCATGAAGTAATACTGATTGGTGATATCTTGAATGGTCTTACAGATGCCATTTGGAATTCGACAGAGAATCGTCGGAGATGGGCTTAAAGATGCCATCCAGAAAAGATATCAGTTGCATAAGAGATTCCATTGCGAAAATTCCTGTATCTGCCGTTTAGGAGGACTTCACCGGGGAATGTTGATTTATTTCCTGGGAAATACAGTATAGGAGCTTCAGTTGTCCATTACTCTACTGGGGTATTAACTCCTAATCGAGGAGGTGAAAGTAAATCGCATATCTAGTCGGGGTCTAGGCTGCACTGCAACTTACTGGGGAAATGTGAAATCAATTGTTTCTGGTCGGATCCAGGTATTACAGTGTTGTAAACTGTTGTGGAGATAAGGAACCTTGGTTGTAGGGTTACTTTGAAATGAAAGCCTGGATAGTAGGGCTATGAGAAGGAACCTAGTTCGTAGGGTTACTTCGAGATGAATGCCTGGATATAAGGGCTTATGGGAAGGAACCTGGATAGTAGGGTTACTTCGAGATGAAACCCTGGATAGTATGGCTTATGGGAAGGACCCTGGATAGTAAGGTTACTTCGAGATGAAAGCCTAGACAGTAGGGCATATGGGAAGGTACCTGGATAGTAGGGTTACTTTGAGATGAAAGCCTGAATGGTAGGTCTATGAGAAGGAACTTGGGTAGTAGGGTTACTTCGAGATGAAAGCCTGGATAGTAGGGCTTATGGGAAGGAACCTGGATAGTAGGGTTACTTTGAAATGAAAGCCTGGATAGTAGGGCTTATGGGAAGGAACCTGGATAGTAGGATTACTTCGATATGAAAGCCTGGATAGTAGGGCTTATGGGGAGGAACCTGGATAGTAGGGTTACTTCGAGATGAAAGCCTGGATAGTAGGGCTTATGGGAAGGAACCTGGATAGTAGGGTTACTTCGAGATGAAAGCCTGGATGGTAGGGCTATAAGAAGGAACCTGGGTCATAGGGTTACTTCGAGATGAAAGCCTAGATGGTAGGGCTACTTCAAGATGAAAGCCTGGATAGTTGGGCTTATAGGAAGGAACCTGGGTAGTAGGCTTACTTTGAGATGAAAGGCTGGATGGTAGGGCTATGAGAAGGAACCTGGGTCGTAGGGTTACTTCGAGATGAAACCCTGGATGGTAGGGCTATGAGAAGGAACCTGGGTCGTAGGGTTACTTCGAGATGAAAGCTTGGATGGTAGGGTTATTTCGAGATGAAAGTCTGGATAGTAGGGCTTATGGGAAGGAACCTAGATAGTAGGGTTACTTCGAGATGAAAGCCTGGATAGTAGGGCTAATGGGAAGGAACCTGGATAGTAGGGTTACTTCATTTGGTCACGTATCTTAGTTGATCTATTTGTTTTCGGGAACTGATTTTTTTCATTAGCCGTCTGCAGATATGAAATGTATAACTGCTGGATTCGTTAGTGATAATTGTCTTTCCTGAAAAGATAACAGGGTTAATTATATGCGATGCATGAAATGCATTGTGAGATGATGTTTTCAAAATAAATGAGATTATGTTGTTATTCAATATGTATTTGCATGTCATGATGTATGAGCATGAGATGCTATTGTGACATATCCGAGTCTGGGAAAATAAATCCATGACTGCTGCTGGAGAATATAACACTCTTGACTGTTGTAGAGAACTGTGGTTCTTCTACTTCCGCTGGGGATGGTGAACAGAAATGACTATGCTGGAGATTTACTCCTTATTGTTAGTGAATATTCTGCCAGGGAGAGACTCTAATTGAGAATAACTCTACGGGGGATTGCGTTTCCGTATTCAAAGAAATAAACTATGCTTGGGATATAAATCTTATGACCCGTTTGCGATTATGAAATTCGGCTGGGGGGTATAGATGTCAGATTTCTGAAAGAACCTGACTGGGGAGATTACTTCCTGTTTTGGGAAAGCTGATATCAATGCTTTGATTTCTTTTACTCTTTGGGGAGTACGAATGTTGTGAGGTCGTATGTATTGATGAATGTGTTTCAAAAATGACTCTGCCCCGGTACCTGCTGGACAGGGTAATTGTCGGGTTTGACATTTTTTAGTTTTTTTTTGTTCTTGCCCATGTTTCTTAAGTCACTAGCAATTGTCTTTCCGTTTCTTATGCAAACATTTGTAAGCAGCAAACATATTCAAATGCATATGTCAAGAATAAACTATTGGGCGTTCTTGCAAAACAAAACAGAAAAAGAAAAAACAGAGTTTTTTTTTTGTAAAAATGATTTGTATTGATTTTCGAAGATGGCCTATAATAGGAATTTTTGTACAAGGAAGCTCATGCTCTAGTAAGAGAACGCCGCCATAAAAATGGAAGCTATACAATATTGTGTAAAAAAGAAAACAGTTATGTAAAACAATTCCACTGGGTTCCAAGTCTGTTATTGCCGCTATGTCTTCGAGCGTCTCATCACATTGCTGCTTGTCTGAAGCTGATTAGATTGATCGGTGTCGTTCGAGCTTGATGGTTGATATTGAGATCTGATCGCAAGGTGATCCAATGAGACATAGTTGTTGTACCCCAAATTTTGACCTAAGATACCATCTCCCATCTGAATCATTACATTGCATGGGTTTTGACCTATTTTTATCAACTTTCAAAGCAGTTTTTAAATTCATAAACTTTTTCAAGTCGAGAGCTGTTTATTTTTTTGAACGCTAAATTTATTAATCGGTCAATGCTAAAACAATGTTTATTTAATTATTTATCACTCTAAGTTTAAATAGTTGAAATTTTATTTTTCAGTTATTATAATTTTAGAGATTATAAATAATGGAGTAAATATTTGAAAAGAAGGTTATTAATTGATCAAACAATGTTTATTTAATTATTTATTATTCTAAGTTTAAATAATTGAAATTTTATTTTCAGTTATTATAATTTAGAAGAATTATAAATAAGGAAGTAAATAATTGAAGACAAGTTAATTGATCAATGATAGTTATTTAATTATTTATCATTCTAAATTTAAATAATTGGAATTGATTTTCAGTTATTATATAATTTAAAGAATTATAAATGATAAAATAAATAATTGCAAAGAAGAAAAGAATTAATTGATAAAATATTGGAGTTTTATTCATTTTATTCTAATTGTTACAATTGTTGTTTAAATACCGTATTTATTTACAACGTATTTACAATGATAATTTTTACAATGTTTAAAATGAAATAAAAGCTATCCTATTTTTTTTCCTAAGTTCTAAATCTTCACCTTCTATCCAATACTTCTTTAATGCTCATTTGATTTTTACCTGCAAAGAATTAAAAGAAAAGTCAGAAATGAATATATAATTAAAAGCAGAAAATTAATTTAGCGTTCATCATTAAAAGCAAACGGCTGGAATCAGTTTTTACCCTCTTTGCAAATCACGGGATTTCTCCCGGTTCACAAAAAGGGATGAATTTGTATTGATAAAAATGAATGCACAAGTTAAAAATATGCACAAATTCATTTTTTTTGTCAAAATTGCACATTTTAATTGTAAACTGCATAATTTAAAATCCACTGCATATTTCAAAAGAAAAACAGCATATGCAATTTTTAACACAAGCCAATATGCAACGTAAAATGCCAAAAATGTGGGAAGAGGCCAAAAACATAAGGCTCCATGCTGTACCATGCAGTTGACAAAGAGACATGTGCAGTTTTAAAAACCAAATATGCAAGCAAAAATATTTCTATTTCTCATCATTTTCCAGCTTATGCTTTTTCAGAACTTAAAAGTGCATAACATCATTTTAATGTCAAATTGTACTAAGGAGAGAGAAGAGAGAAAGAGTGTGGGTTTTACAGGTTTTGGCTTAGGCAGAAAGAGATACAAAACAGAACAGCAGTAACACAATAAGAAAAGGAAAGCATGAAAATAAAATATGGATAAACTGAATGAAGCAGTAGAGTGCAGAGGACAAAGGCAAAAAAATAGTAAAAGTATTCAGAACCTGAGCCATCAACAATAAGCCAGCAACTGTTATAACAACAACAAACCATAGAAGAAAAGGAGAGAGTTCACAACCTGTTTTAAAAACCTTCAAAACTCAAAGCTGTCAAGAAAAAATACTAAGCCAATTCTCATAAACCAAAACATACATACTCCCTTTTCGTTCATCATTTGTTCTAGACATAACCCATCACCTTCAGTAACAAAACTCTCCAAAATTAGCAACAATCTTCCTCCAAGCTTCAACTTTGTCCATCATTACAGAAGAAAATAACAACAAACACAACATTAACTTACCACATTTTTTTCTTCTAGTTATTATTCTTGCAACCTGCAGGTTATAAGCAAGATTATTAAATTCAAGAAGAACAGAAAAAGGAAATAATGTGAAACTGCCAACATCACCTCAACCGGAACTCCCACCGAAGAACAACCACCTTCGTTGCTGAACCGGCCTCCACAAAGCTCTACGGCCACCTCATGCACCATTCACGATCCCACAGAAACAACAAACCATCTATCCACCCGCTCCGTCGATCGCCTAGCGTCATCACAAAGCACCAGTCCGTCCAAGATCTCGCCGCAGATCTACACTTCAATCCGCACAACATGAATCATACATCACCACACACACGGCCTGGAGGCTACTGCCGTCGACATAGGTCCGACGACTCCCACGGTTGGCTGATAACCAATCTCTCTGATCACAAAGACAAGCACCAGCACTGCGACCCATCCGAAACAGCTGCCATCAAATCCGCGAAGATCTTTTCTCACTCGATCATTCACCAGTAGAAGAAGAAGTTTCTAGAGAGAAAGCGAAGGAGAACCGATTTGCGATGACCAGAAAAGGAAATGGCCACAACAACTCAGAGGGTCAAAACTGAAGATAAATTAGAAGAAAGGAAAAGCCTCAAAGAACAAGGAAGTGTTTTTTTCTTAACTTACTGATATTGACTATCGCGGGTGATTTCTGGCCATCACGAGACGATTTTCGACAAACATCATTTTCAGAACTTGTTCGCATGGTTTGATCTCTTTTCTAGCCTTCTCTTCTATTGTTAATGTTTGTTCATCGATAAAGATGGTCAATATTTTGCTATTTGTTCTGTTTTTGTTGTTAGGCTATGGTTAAAATAGTTAGAAGTAGGGATGTTTGTTTTGTTTTAGGAAATATAAGAATAGATAGAAAGAAAGTAAAGTGAGCAGAGAATAGAAGCGTGAGGAAGAGAGAGAAATCAGAGGACATTGAAAAGGAATGGTGTTTAGTTTCACGAGTGAGGGAGTATTATGTTATATTTTCCAAATTGTTATTTTAATTGAATTTATTGAACTAATAATTATTAATTGGACCAATTTCAACAAGCAGCGGCGGCAGCTTGTTTTAAGATGTATTAGGGTTTCTTTTTTTTTCCCTCCTAATCCATAACCCGGTTGGCCCATTGGGCCCATTTGGCTTAGCTTTTTCTAGTTCCTTTCCTTTTAATTTATTTGAGTTGTAGATATAACAGAAAGTGTTAACAGTTTAATTGGCAAGGTGTTACCACCAATCTAAAAGGTCCTGAGTTCAAGTCTTTGTGAGGTTCTTTTTTATTTTGTTTTGTTAACTCTTCAACCTTATTTAAAATATATATATATATATATATATATATATATATATATATATATATATATATATATATATATATATATATATATATATATATATATATATATATATATATATATATATATATATATATATATATATATATATATATATATATATATTAGTTTAGATTTATTTTATAACTTTTTTGTTTTAGTTTAGAATTTTATGTGTTGTAGTATTATTTTAGTAACTTTAGGATTTTATTTCATTTAGATTTGACTTAGTAAATTTTAGAATTTTATTTGTTTTAGTTTTGACTTAGTAAATTTTAGAATTTTATTTGTTTTAGTTTTGACTTAGTAAACTTTAGAATTTTATTTTGTTTTAGTTTTGACTTAGTAAACTTTAGAATTTTATTTTGTTTTAGTTTTATTTTAGTAACTTTAGGGTTTTATTTCGTTTAGATTTGACTTAGTAAATTTTAGAATTTTATTTGTTTTAGTTTTAATTTAGTAAACTTTAGAATTTTATTTGATTTTATTTAAGTTAACTTTAGAATTTTAGTTGTTTAGAATTAGTTTAATATTCTTTTAGAATTTTATTTGATTTAGATTTAGTTTAGTAATTTTGGAACTTTTTTTGTTTTAGATTAGCAACCTTGGAATTTTTATTTAGTTTAGATCTAATTTTCTAATATTAAAATTTTAATTTAGTTTAGATCTAGCGTAGCAATTTTAGAATTATGTTTATAACTTTAGATAACAAATTAGTTTAGAATTATTTTAGTAAGTAATCTTATAATTTTGACTTAGATAATTAGTTCCCTTTTCTTTTATTTAAATATCTTTGTCCTTTTAATTTCTAGAAGCTTTTGGTCATTAATCTGTTTCATTAGATTTGTTTTCTTGTGAATTTTTGAATGCTTATACTTTGTGGATTCATCTTATTTTACTTGCTCGATTTAATCCAAGGGAATTGTTTAATTTTTGTCGACTTCATGTCATCAAAAAACATTGTGCGAATACCCCCATTCATTAAAAACATAGGATAATTTTCCCAAATATCCAATTTCTTCAAAAACTCACACCTTTTAAGTCAAAACTTCGACATTAGGTCTTCGTATCTTCAAAAAACTCGTCCATACCCATTTTCGGCCAAAACAATTTTTAATCAAACAAACATTTTAATAAACAGATATTTCAAAAGGTTCCTATAGAGTACTATAGATACATTGGGTGCTAATACCTTCCCACTGTATAACCAACCCCCGAACCATAGATCTCTTTTCAAAAACGCCTTGTATTTTTATTACTTTTAAAAAGTATTATTTTACATTGCATACTTTAGGGTTTTATTTCGCTCTTTCCCCTTTTCCCTTGGAAATAATAAAGCGCGGTGGCGACTCTTGCTTTTGTGAGACGAATTAATCAATAATTCGATCTCCGATTTACCCCGCTACATTTTTTTTATCGCTACAGAATTGGCGACTCTGCTGGGGAAAGATTGACCTCTTGCTGGTCCATCCCTAAGTGGGTTAAGCCTAGTTTGTTTTATCTGTTTTATTATTATTTGTTTTGTTTGATTATGTGTTTATATTGGGGTTGTTTGGGTTTTTACAAAGGACGAATCCTATACCCGGATTAAGTTACACTTAAGAATAGGACGGGCGGTACAGTCATGTTAACTTTGAGGGAGTAATCCCGAAGAAGGAGGCATGAGATCCCCCACTCAATGGAAGGCCCTCTTGAACTTAATATTTGTTTACCGAGTAATCGGGAAGACATTATTATTTTCGACCTGGGAGCCAGAGAAATTGAGGACCGTAGAACCCTAACCCATCTTGGCCTTTTAGGTGTAGCGCGGAGACTATAACGGAGTAACTCGGAAGTAGTTGTTACGCGATGCTATGCTCGGATGAGTTTCTCTTGAGAATATTGCTAATTATTGAGTAATCAAGACGTTGGTAATATTCGAAGGAGGAATGTAGACTCTGGGAACTCTTAGAACCTTGTCTTACAGGTGTGATTGAACCGTTAGTACATACCTTAGGGTGGGCTTTACCCTCGACTCCATGCTGAAACGTTGAACCTTTGAACCCCATGTTTGTGAACTTGTGTGTAACTGTTGCATTATCATTCATCCATACATCCATAAACATTTTTGTAAAAAACTTGTTTTTCAAGGAACTTAAGAATGATTCTTGCAGACATCTCAGGTACTATTATTATGGAATTTGGAAGGAGAAACACTCGAAGTTTTAGTTTTAAGGAGCCCGAGATTGAAGAACTGAAGAGTTTAATTCCTAAAATCAAGAACCCGACAGATTTTCAGAAAAAGTATGGGTCCATTATACCTCTCATGAAGCGCAAGATGAAGGAAGGCATCCTTAATACGTTGGTCCAATTCTATGATCCTTTGTACCGATGTTTCACCTTTCCGGATTACAAGTTGATGCCCACCTTAGAAGAGTACTCCTACGTATTTGGTTGGCCGATCACCGACGGTGTTTCTTTTTCTGGCTTAGAAGAGGAACCCAAATCTTACGAGATAGCGACCATCACCCACTTGAAGAAGTCAGAGATAAAGGAGAACATGACTACAAAAGGGGGAATCCGAGGTTTGTCCGCGCAGTTTTTGTTGAGGAAAGCTCGTCACTTCGCTGAAATAAAAGATACTATTGCCTTTAAAGACGTCTTTGCTTTACTCGCTTATGGTCTATTCTTGTTCCCTAACGTTGATAAGTTTGTGGATATCAACGCCATCAGAATTTTCTTGATTGGAAATCCAGTCCCTACGCTGCTAGGAGATACCTACTACTCCATCCATCTTCGAAACTCTCATCAAGGAGGGATGATTATCTGTTGTGCACCATTGCTGTATCAGTGGTATGTTTCTCATCTACCTAGGTCTGATGTTTTCTAGGATCTCGAGAAGGAGCCGCGATGGGCGCCAAAGATTATGGCTTTCACTCATTTCGACATTGATTGGTATAATCGAGTTTACTACAACGTGAAGGTCATCGATAGCTGTGGTGCTTTTCCTAACGTGCCTCTTCTTGGTACGAAAGGTGGAATTAACTATAACCCTGTTCTCGCGCGCCGTCAGTTTGGATACCCGATGAGGGACAAGCCAAATAACATCCATGTGAATGGTTTCTTTCTACAGGAAGGACAAGATCATCAGGCAGCTAAGAGGGAGATCGAAGGAGCTTGGCACCACATCCATAGGAAAGGGAGAGACATGTTAGGACATAGGGGTGCCGTTTCTTTGGAGCCTTACCTACAATGGGTCCGTGCTAGGGCTTGTGCTCTCAAGATGCCCTATAAACCTGAGAAACCTTTATTCCCTACCATTTCATCGTCATCTGTTGATATCCCTATCGAGAATATGGGAGAATACCAAGGAAATCTGGCTAGGATGAAGTCCGAGAGAGATGCTTGGAAAGAAAAGTATAATATGTCTGAATATTAGAATCGGGTCCTGGCTCGACAACTAAAGGAAAAGGAGGATTTGTTATTTATTCAAGACGGCTGGTTCATTGATCATGATGAGAAGCTTCGTCAAAAGGATGCTTTACTGAAGAAATATGCTAGTGAAAGGAAGAGAAATAAGGAAGGTTCGGTAAGCGTTGCTCTTGTTCCTAATCCACAAAAGGAAATCATTGATCGACTGGTAGCTGAGAAGAAAGAGATGGAAGACTTTTATGAAGAGAAGATCAGGAAGCTCCGGTTACAGTTGGCATTTGGTCCTTCATCTGATGATTCTGAGTGATCTTTAGTTCTTAGTTTTATTTTACTGATGTCATTTTGTAAAACTTTGTAAAAGGGCTTCATGTTCCGAAGTTGTAATTTACTGCTTTTTATTATGGGCTGCATGTTCCAAAGTTGTAATTTACTAC